GACCTGAGGTTATTGGTCAAAATCAAGAAAAAATATGCATAAGTGACATTAACATGGAAGCAATTTATGGATATAAAAACTGCGCCGAATATGAATTCATGCTCAGTTGACACCTTTCAGGGAGCAACCTTGCAATGTGCTTTTCTTTCAAAAACGTAAGGCGCTATAAGCACTGGAAAAAGCGTGAACGAATGAATTCTGCCCAAGACAGTCATGGATTTCGAGTTAAAGGGACGATCACACGGTTCATTCTGTGCGACGTCGACGTCAACTATCCCTGTTTTATTTGCCTTATGCAAGTTCTGGGTTGCAGCTAGGGGTAGCCTAAGTGAAGCAGTAATTTGTGCAGGTTTCAAGATAAATAGGGATAACTTTCAATCCGTATTAGTTCGGGAATTCGGAACCGTTTTGGAAAGGTTCAAGAAAGTAGAGAAAACACATATCGCTAACCAGAATGAATGGAGTTGTAGTACCTAGATTTCCGTACTTGAACTTTAGCTTCCACCATGGGCGGAGATTCCGGGAGAATGGAGGGGATACCCCCCATACACACACACTTTAACAGGGGAATGACCAATACAATCACCCCACACACTTTTCAAGTCACTGACTCTGCGCACCCTTAGCATGAACCACAGACGGCAAACTTTCCAACGTCACAGTCTTACCTGGGATGTAGGCCGAGCGGAGCCGTCAGAAATCATCCGTCCCCCACATGTGACAAGAAATCTTAGCCCATGCCTTCCACACTCATGAAATGGTTACAATAAGACCAAGGGTGGGTCTTCTATTCTGTGTATCCTCAGTTGTGTTCAAGTGAGGAGGTTCAGACCGCCCTGGCTCCCTCCATGTTGAGGCTTATCTGCTGTGGTAGGGAATGCCGTCTGCCTATACATGTTGAGCAATAGCCGTAATCTTTGTAGCAAGTGTAACACCTTTGCCTTCTTTGTGACGAGTCGGGCCCCTTAAATATGAGTTAGCTGTTTCAAGTTTCGCTGGCGGGGCACAAAAACTGCAAACAAATGTCAACTCAGATCTTTTCTCTGTCTTGGCACTCAAAAACAAATTGAACATCGAGTGTCGTCCATATCTTTCATGCTGTCTCTGTGGATTGGACAAAACAGAGCAATTTGAATCCGAGCCAATACCTGCGGTCGAAGGGTAGATGCTACACAGTCATTTCTTGTGACGTTTACTTGCATCGGTATGTGAGTATTAGCTACGGTCAACATTTTCAGTGGGGATCCCCTTCCGTTAACATTTGTGAATGAATGCTAGACCTAATTTAAGTTGAGGTCTCGAGGCCCTTCTTTGTCGAAGCTGTCTTCAATTTGTCCAAAATTGGTCCCCCACAAGAAGTTCACTAAACTAGTATTTGAAATAACTCAAAAAGGGCGAATTTTTGATGGGTAAAAATCCGTCGCAAATTGAAGTGTTTTATATAAGGGACATAAATTTCAACCTAGGAAAGTGAATTTGGTTTAAATTGGAGTGATTTGAATTTTTTTGCGTGTTGTGTGGGAGTTTTGTACACGACAACAAAGGAAACACCCCACAAGTATAGCTGTGTAAGGGTGGGTGACGTTGAGTTTGTATACACATTCAAATCGTGGACCTATAGCAATAGGGGACAATAGGGTCCACGGTTGGAAAACGTGTACAAAACATATGGGATGTCTTCCAAAAAAAAAAAAGAAAAGTATGAACAAAAAAGGAACAATAGGGATTCCACGATTGAAGGGTGGGTGTGTACAGGCCTGGCATACATAGTGTGGACCTCTGCACAAAAGAAGTCCACATAATGCAGGATACGATGGCGTTGTGTGGACTTGCACATGTCCACACAAGGTTTCCCCCTCTCTGGAAAAGGAGTTTAGAGGCATTTTGGGGTCGGGGTTATCCGTGGTAAAAGGAAGAGGAATAGTCATGGAAACCTTGTACAAAAAACAGCCAAAAATCTTGTTCCTGTTTGAAGAAAAATGAGTATTTTCACTGAGTTTTCTTAACTGCACGAAAACAAAGGAATGTCCACAGTATGTATGTAACGTAAACATGTGTGATTGTGTGTGTGTTTTGTGTGCTTAATTCGTTTGGTAGGCGGTTCGAATTCCATGGAAGGCCGGGTGGAGGTATACTCGAGTAGTGAAGCCCGTCTGTATAGAGAAAACCACGCCCCTTTAGGGGGTTTTCTCAAGCCTCTCGAACAATCAGAACGCTGTATTTAGCCCCATTTCTCCCTCATTAGCATAATTTGACGAGCCAGCTCCTCATCAGGTCGTTCCATGTTTGGGTGACGAGTAGGGGTGTTCCCGTAGGCAACTCGAGGGGCGTAGGCAACTCGAGATAAAA